ACAAAACTGCAAAAAAAAGCAACAAACCTATTTCTTGCTTCTAAGAAAGGTCTTAACAAACAGAACCAGCCTTTAATCCAAACGAATGGTTTCAACCAATTTAACGCAATATCTTTTTCTTTTGGGCGAAGAAGCTGCATTAGGTTTCTTAAGTCTGTATCGTCTTCTTCTTGCTTGAGAGGCAGCAAATGTTCAATTTTTGGAAGAAAAGAAAACAATACCCCTACCAAATTATAGGTTACGATTACAAACAAGGTAATACTACCTTTAGATGCAACCAAAAGGTTTTTGACAGAGTCGTTGAACATCTTAGGTATTTCATGTGTTTTGGTGTACGATAGGAGGCCCAAGTCAACATAGCACAACGTCGGTAGGGCAAGAACAATAAGCAAGTTCCTTACGACGTTTGCACAATAATATTTAGTTGAAAAATATCGAATCGCTTGGACGGCACAGATAACAAGACGGTAAAGCGGATTTTGGACTTGACTGTTGAAACGCAAGGTTTCTGATTTCTTTTTATCCGGGACAATATTGAACAATGCGGGAAGACACAAGAGAGTGATTGCAGCTGCAATTACTATCGTTATGAAAATTGCAGCCATTTCCGAGTTAAGAACAGCTGGAATGTCACATTCAACTTGTTGTGTGTGAACGTTTCCTTTGCAGCATCTATAGTTCACTGTATTCGAGTCATTGACGGCGTAACATAGTACGCCTCTTTCTAATGTTACGTTACCCAGAAAGGTTCTGGCCAAGTTCGCTGTTACACAACTGTRGCTCAAGTTTTGCAAGCAGTTGATCGGCTCGACATCTACATTGACTTTCATATGATTTATAATTCTCGATAAAGTCGTGAAGGAATAAACAATGAAGTCCAAATCCAGCGATAAGAATGGCGCTTCAATGCTATCAACCCAAACCAAGTTCAAAGGATCTAAAATATCAGCGTTGTTATCTGAAGGTTCAAGCGATAAATTGTAACCAGAAAAATGTACAAACAATACTTGGGTCGAGTCTAAAGACAAGGAGGCGAATTTGTCAACAGACGAGCGATGAACGCTAACCACACACTTATTCTGRCAAGCAGGCTCCAGTGGTTGTCGATTTACTGTGCCTCTATTATATCCTAAAATGCTTTGGATGAAAGGGTAGAATACAAGAAGTATTACCACGTATAAAAAAAAAGGCGTTGTAGTAATGACCCAAAAATGTCTTCAGTGTTGCGGCATGTTTTGTTTTCCGTTCCATTCTCAATCGATAAAGGTTCGCGGAGTCGATCTTCAGTATAGTAAATGCAGAACTCTTTCCTCAGATTAAACTGCCTTCAGTCCCAGCAGTCCTGATGTAACGAGGCTTAAACTACTGAATTGCCAGTAGCAGGGAAATGAGAGTTCAACGCCATGATTCCTAATGTTCTCCGTGTACTCCCTCAATCCATGTCATCCATGAGTCATCAGATCATTGATTATTTTTAGAACTAGAACAGGTGGAACTAGAGCGCGTGTTCAGCGGTACACTGGTTCATGCTACAGTACTATGGTTCATGCTACGGTACCTAGGTTTATGCTACGGTACTGTGGTTGATGCTACGGAACTATGGTTGATGCTACGGTACCTAGGTTTATGCTACCGGTACAGGTTCATGTTATGGTATAAGTTCATGGTATGGTCCAAAACGTTTATACCCACCACGACGCAATGAGCTATTTTAGTATGCGATTCTTGATTGGTCAGATTGTAGTGGCGTCATGGCGGCAAGAGATCGGCAGTGACAAAGCAAGCTTCATGCAGTTAAAAAACAAAGCTTTATTCAATGTTAGAGGAATTCCTTGAGAAATTCTGAAAGGTATTTGAAGGAATCCAGAAACTGCACATCTAAATAATACTCAGCTGAGACAACATCATTCAAGCTTGTTTTTAAATCAAAACAATGGTCGCTCGATTGAGACTCCTTTTTTGGAGTTGATTGCAGTTATAGATGAATCCACAATTCTCCACCTAAACTGAAATACTGTAAATATTGCTGTATTCCAAGAACACGTACTTCTAACTTGAAAATGACAAGTTATCTTATTGACATCTAAAATGAAGGAAGAATGGAATCGTTTGCGAAAGAGCCGGATTTTCGATGAACAAACTTGTTGAATTCACTGAGTCAAAAGTTCAAAAACTTTAAACTTGAGAGAAAATTTTGCATTTACTGTTGGAATTAGTTTTAACAAGTAAAAGGAAGAGCTTTAAAGATAGCTGAAAAGAGTCAAGCTGCTCGGAATAGAAGAATTAAACAAAGGAAAGGCACAAATACGCCGAACTGAGAGCATCTGGCGGGGGAAAAAACAAACGCCCTTCAAGCAGGTAAAAATAATCTCAAATTCTAAATTTGATTCGTTTTTTGTACTTGGCCGATGATTGTATTTCTATTGTCTGTTGGGGACTTTAGATGAGTTGAAAAGTTATGATAAAATACCTGAACCCTGAGGCGGAGCGAAAATTCAAGGTGCAAAATATGAAAGAAAGTTCTAGTTTAATAGATAGTCAAACTTTTTAATTAATTCACCTTTTCTCAATGAACAATGTCTTTTGCATAAAGTGACATACCGTATTTTGGCAAGCCAAACATACTGATTAAATAATCGTGAAAAATAATTTCAGTGCCTTTTGGAGTTTTTTCCTCTGTGATAACAGAAATTTTTCTTCAGTACATTTCGTTGTAAATAGTTTGTTCTGATTCGTGTGTGAAACAAAATACTCGTCTTGTTCATCATCCTCTTAATCACTTGAACTTAAACTTTATTTTACTATCGAAAACGCTACGATAAATGCTTTTTTTCGCTGTCTTCACTGTAGGTTCTTAACTATTTTCATCACTATTTTTATCGCGGCTTCCTTCCCTATCAGTATCAGTTCTGTTCCATTATTAACAGCAATTAGCTGAGCAACGGGGACTCTATTCTATTCAAGATGAAAGTTCTTAAAAAGAAGTCCTTTGAAGGCTTTTCTGTCTTTTGTTAATCTTCTGGCATGATCTTTATCAATGTTTGATAGTTTTTCGATCTTTATCCATGGATCTCTGACATATTTTTTGGTTGGTTTGATGAAAAGCAATTTTTTCGTAAGATTGTAGTTCGGTCGTCTACATATGTGYGCGATATATTTTAAATATCGAACCGTATAAGAAATCCCGTGGTGGAGTCACAATTATCCTTTCAACATCAGTATTTTCGTAATTGAGTGCAAAAGTTTCTTCACCATCACTATCTGTTTTTCTCTTCCAGCCATTTTTTATCATCCTTCTTAGACCGTGCCAGCATGTTTCGAGTTTTTTCAGTTCTTCCTCATTCGGTAATTGTGCTTACGTCCGTGCAATAAAGAAGTCTAGATCTAATACAGGATTCTAAGATTTTCTTTCTAGTTTTCATGGACACTTTATTGTCTGTGAGAACATTCTTTAGATCGTAAAATTTACCAGTTGCACTGATAATTCTGTTGTCAACAAAAGAATCTTTTGGGTCGCTGTAAAACATATGTCCCAGATATTTAAATTCCTTAACATTCTCAATATCGTTTCCAGAAATGTTCAGTAGACTTCCTTTGTTCATGAGTTCTAAGTCATTGAAAACTTGTGTTTTTGTTTTCTTGAAGCTAATCTGTAGACCATGTCTAGAACAAGTCGTGTATACAATATCCAAAATATCCTGTAAGTTAGAAAGATCCTTTGAGAAAATTGCAACATCGTCTGCATATAGTAGCCATTTAATCATTTGCAATTGTATATGTGCATTGAATACCCCATCCATCAAAAAAACGTTGATCGATTTCATGTGCAGCTACCTTAAGTACCCAATTAAAGAACCAACTGAACACAGTCGGGCTTTCTATAACACCTTGTCTGGTTCCTGCTTCAATTGGAAAGTCTTCCAGTTGTTCCATCATACAGTAACCATAAGATATCAATCAACTTCTTACAACCAGTTCTGATTTTCAGTACTTCATACATTATGTGTCTCGGAACCTTTTCAAATACTGCTGTTAAGTCAATATACAATGCAATTATCCGTCCCTCGGTGTTCTTTAATAATTGTCGCATGATAATACCCCATCAGTGTAGATTTGTTCTGTCTAAAGCCAAACTGTGCATTTGATATGTTTTCCTCGTAGCTTTCTTTTAGTCGTGTAATAATTATCTTGGATAAAATCTTTGAGATGTTTGCCCCTACAGACAAAGCACGGCAGTTACTCGCTAGTTGTTTACTTCCTTTTTTAAAGAGACAGGTTATAGAGAGTTTCAGCCAGTCAGAGGGAATCGTCATTGTTATTCAAACAGTTTGCAATAACATTCATACAGCCATAATGAGTAAATTGAAAGGTATTCCGTACTTAGATGTTTCAGTTGGTACTTTATCAGTTCCAAAGCTATTTCCATTATTGAAGCTTTTAAAAGCAGATTTAATTTCCTCTCTGTTAGGTGGATCTGAATTTATGTCAATTTTCTGAACGTTGAATAGTTCTGGATACCTTTCAGGGTGTACAAGTTCTTGGGGGCATATCAATATCTTCTCTCTTCCTGAAGTGATCTTTAAAGTGACTGGTAGGTTTAATTTCCGTTAGACTCTTGTTCCTTGTTGTTGACAGCATGTTATACTTCTTAGAAAGTGCAAATTCCCGTTCAACTTTTTTTGAATTACTCGTACGATTAAGTTCTATAGTCTTTTTTTCATTGTAATCATTTTTTAGTTTAGCTTCATCTTTCTGATCCTTTCACGTTGATCTTTAGAGTTATCGGACGATGTTATTAGATTAAGTAGCTCACTAGATTCTCATGGTTTTTTGAACTCTTCATCTTTTTGTGGCATTGGTAATTCACTGTCTAATGCTTTGTAGATATTGTTGACAATGATTCCATTGATTTCTTCAGGTTTCATATCATCATAACAGCAATTACTAAAAGCATTGTCAAGTTTCGTACAGAAGCTCCAAGTTTTGGACTGCAACACTGGGTGAACATAAACTTCAAGAGAAAGAGGTGTTTGAGCAGGTTAGGGGTGTTGAAAGAATTATCCTGCATCCCAATTACAAGTCCATGTTTTTAGAAAAGATCTTCGATACTCCACCAGACTATGACCTTGGTGAGTTTATTTATTGCTTTCATATATTTATATGTGTGCATGTGACATGAGTGTGCTAGGCCTCACAAATATGGGGTGTACTCAAACATGGCTGTCATGACACCATGGGTGCGGGCAACCATTCTTGAAGCAGAAGAGCAAGATGATAATTTTTAAGGTGGTCGCAATTATTCACAGTATCACAAAATAATTACACATAAAAACTAGACTGTAAATTTCTGGCATCATTTGCATCGTTGAGGTAATGCGACCATAGCTTCTTGGTTACTTGAAGTCGCCAAAAGAAACCAAATGACCTTATGTTTGGGTCGTCCTACCTGCATGCAAATAGGTTCCTTTT